GGGGGGGGGGGTGTAAAAAAAAAAAAATAGTTTGTACTATATATAAATGAGTACCAAAGTGCTGCATAAAAGTCTGTTTATGGAGTACCTGTGCTAAACTTGTAGCAGTTTCATAAAAGGAAAATGCATCAGTTCGTGATGAACTAAGTTTATGGGTACTATATTTAAATTACTACAGCTGTATTTAATTTCAAGGTCAGAATTTTTAATTTTGCACATCACTTCCATGTGTTCAGGGGAAGCAGAGTCTGATTGTAAAGCAGGGGCTGCAGGGGGAAGAAGTTGGGGAGAGGCAGAGGGGCTACCTGACCCCTGAGATTTATTTTTCCTGATGTAGCAGTGGAATTCAAGACACATCTCCAATAGTTGATTCTATACTTAGAAAATTATAACAAACTTATAAGTTTTCTATATATAAAATCTAATTATTGGTGGGTTGTCTTATAATCTGGGTCATCTTCTATTTGAGTAAATATGGTAAACAATAACTCACTATTTACTTTCTCTGGACAATTTATTTTGTAGACTTTTGTGTTTTGTAGACTCAGAAGCCACTCTATACATCTGATTATCTTTGTACCTTTTCCATTTTTTTATTTATCTTTTTCAAGGTATAGGGACCAAACCTAACAATATTCAAGGTCCCCTCTGGAGCCTTTTTTAAAGATTAGAGTTACACTGACAACCCTCCAGTCCTCTGGTATTCTAGTGACTTGTCCTCTGGGAGGAATGATTCTGGTGGAGGATTCTCTCCAGCATCTTCCACAGTTAAAGACTGATGTAAAGAACTCATTAAGTTTCTCAGTAATGGCTTTGTTCTCTCTTAATGCTCCTTTTATACCCTGATAACCCAGTGGCCCAAGTGCCTCTCTTGAAGGCTTTGTCCTTCTAATATACTTAAATTGTAATTTTTATTTATAAAGCAAATTACATATATGTTTGTATGTATGTATATATGTATGCATGCATGCATGTTTGCATTGTACGTGTATGCCTCTGTATGTACATTTTTTAAATTTTAAAATAATGACTTGCTTAGAAATTGTAAAACAAGGTTCTTTGGGTGTATCTGATCTCTTTTATTAGACCAACTTAAATAGTTGGGTAAAAAAATTTTAACAAGCTTTCGGGTTAAAAACCCTTCATCAGGCTGAGGAAGCCTCTGCAATTGATGTGTCTTCCTCAGTCTGATGAAGGGTTTTTACACCTGAAAGCTTGCTAAAAACATTTTTTCCAACTATTTAAATTGGTCTAATAAAAGATATCAAATGTACCCACAGAACCTTGTCTGCCTATGTCCTTAGACCAACACAGCTACAACCTCTACACCCTTTAGAAACAGTAAGTGATACATTGCCCAAGGAAAAGTATACCAAATTCATCAAAGAGCACATTATAAAAGTAAAACTGTTATTTATTTGATACAGTTGCTATCTCTTCTGTTTTCTTTGTAATGCCTTTATTCTGTATATTGGTGTCTTAGAGTAAATGATACCAAGATTGCACACCAGTGACAGACGTTGAGAGAGTTGATTGTTCTCTTAGTCTCCATGATAGCTGCTTCTTCCAGGTTATGACTGGATGTTAATGTCAACATAGAATATTGTGTTCCTACTGCCATTGCTTGCTTGGGAGGATAAATATAATTTTGTACAACTCACCAGTTTTAACTGATAGAAAAAATAAATTGGGAAGGTGACTAGTGGTGGAACTGGGAGCAGAGTGATAGGGGCAACTGCCCCAGCCACTGACTGGGGGATGGTGGTAGGTAGGGAGTGAAAAAAACAGTTGCTTCCAGCAGCCACACATTCTCAGTTATGAACTGGAAGTCACTGCCTCCTCTTCACCCTAGGTGCCTGGCTGCATCTCTATACTGTGATATTATGTGACATAGATAGATAGATCTATGTCTATATATATAATATGTTATATAATGTAATATCTAACAAATAAGTTATGTCATTCTGCATGCACATATACCTATGCAGACACACAGATACATGTAGGTAATATGATTGCATGCTATGTTAGGCCTTTGTTTTTCAAATATGGTGCTCTGTTTTTTCTTCCTTCTTCCCTTCAGGAATCAAAGCAGTTTTCAAAGGACTTAATTTCTGTGCTTTGGAGCTCTTGGGCAACCGTTCAATAAAAGCAAAATAAGGAATGTAGTCATGGTTCTAAAAACATTTCACATTCTTCGAACTGATGCCAGTTGTATGCACTGACAGTAATCCCATCTAATCCCCCTCATATATCATCTTTGTACACCTGCTTCTATCGTCTCTCTTATCAATATATTGTACTTAGAACCAGAATTATTCAAGAAGGCAAAGTAACAGAACAATAAAGACACACATGCTAAATGCGCTGTTTTAAATTTGCATTGCAGACAGGTATTAAGGCACATTTGTATTTCAATGCATAGAGTTGTCATCTTCTATTAAAATATTTTTCTATTTCTTTGTGTATGTGTGTTTGCTTTACTCGGCAGGTTAACTGAAGCACACCGAACAGCTGTCAAAGTCATTAGGAGAATGCAGTATTTTGTTGCCAGAAGAAAATTTCAGGTAAGTAATGCCACTAACAAAAGGATAAATGAAAAAGAGAAGTGTTCATGCAGGATAGGGGA